GCACTACCTATGCACCGGTACACAAATCACATTCAATGTTTTCATTTTAAGCACACTGAATAATTTCTGAAAATTTACCCTTGATGCATCGGTACATGTTGAATGTGTACCGATGTACACTAGCCCAGAATTCCAATTTATGCACGGAAATTAACTCTTTTCAACTTAATTGCTTCATATATCATCCCCTTTCTTATTCTTAACTTACATACTCATAGTTAAACTCGTTTATTCTCATTTATCACATCTTTATCCTCAAAATCCTATCTTCCAAATGGAATTCAAGAATCATACCAAATTTTCTATATGTTCTAAATCCAATTCTATTACTCCAAATCTCTTAATTCAGCTATTGACAAGTAAAATTTTACTTCAAATTTTACTTATAAACTCTTTTCCAAAATCATTTAAAAACTTCTAATCTTTAATCTCTCTTAACTCCTTCATTTTATGGTTTTAAGACAAATTAAGCTTTCCTTAAGCTTAATTATCATCTAATGATCAAACCGCAATCTTAAATTCAGCTAATTATCAATCAACAAGAAATCTTGCCTTTGCTCTTTGCTTCCACTCGTGAAGAAGAAATGAGAATAAGAGAACTCTGGAACTGAAACCTTATCTCCCTTCACTTCCACGTGTTATATCCTATATAAAGGAAGAAATAAAATCTTTCTTGTGAAGTTACTATTATACCCTTCAAAATTTCCATAATTATCATCTAATCTAATAAGGAATTATTCTTATTTAAGTTCTTGAACTTTTAGCTTGTTTCAAAAATCAAGCACATAGTTTTCAAAATTTGCAATTTAGTCACTGACCCTGTTTTGGGATGTTACAAATTCGGATTTAGTGCAACTTAAGGAATCATCCCATCAGACCAACCGTTTGTTGGTGTTAAATTGTTTATCCGCTATCCAACGATGAGGATATTCTCACCGCAAACAAAAGATGTGTGCTTGGAGATGAAATCGATTTTTGGGATGATCACTAGATAGAATGCCCCTCCTTAAGATTAGCATTTCCCATAATATATGGGATTGCCATTCGCAAAACCGGTCAAGTTAGAGACTTTGGTCTTAAATTTAATGGGAGATGGGATTGGAGAATCGAGATTCGAAGGCTGCTTTTTGTGCGGGAAGTAAGTCTGTGGAACGATTTTTTGAATATACTAAATAGAGTTCAATGTAGTGCGGCTGGGGTGGATCATCAAATGGTCGGAGTCGCTTGATGGTTTGTTTTCGCCAAAAAAAATTCTGTTTGGCGGCTGCTTGTGTGGGGGTAAATAAGGACAGCGTTTGGAAATTTGTGTGGGCGAACTTAGCTCCACCTAAAGGTATGGTTCCCTCCCTTTTGGAACTATGGAAGCGTGATGAAAGGTTTGGCAACACCGGTGTAAGTTATGGAAGATTGTTATTGTTTTCCCTGAAGATGTCAAAGCTTTGCTCGTCCTACGGAACAATCAGAAGGTGCGTAGGGGAGTAAAATCAATCTGGTCTATGAGTTTTTTTGCCTTTTTGTGGACTGTTGGGACCAGCAGAAACAATGCCCCTTTTAATGGAATTTCATGCACTGAAGAAAGAATTTTCAATTTGACGATTGTTAGGATTGGAGTCTGGGCAAACAGCAAATGGCCGTTGGTTATCCCTTCTGTCAAAGATTTTATTCGTTACTCCAATTCCTTAATTCTCAGTGGGGTGTGATCTGAAGTTATTTTGTGTAGCAGGGTGTTTTGATAGTGTGTGCTTTTCGGAGTTTTTCGCATTGCATTGGTCCCAAGCTGAATCCGATAGAGCTGTTCCTATGTTGTTGTGTTGTTGAGACCTCTGTAGTATATGTTTGTGTTCTAGCTGATGGGGGATTGTTAGATACCAGGTGTTGCATGTGTGCTCGTAATGTCGTGGATCACTAGGAGCTGTTTTCTGTATGTGGGTTGAGTACTTTTTGCTCTACGTCTTGTAAGAGGATTCGATCGTCTTGCGTCAATTTGGTTTTGTAGGTGATTCTCCTTTAATCTGTCGGAGATGTGTTTCCCATACTCGTAAGCCTTTATTAGTGTTGGTATTCCCCTTTGGATTTTATGGTCAGCTGTGCAGTATTGCTCAATTAGGTAGTGTGGGTGATGCTTCTCATCGTTCTTTTGTATGTGTTATCTTAATAAAATTGCACAAAACCTTATTTAAAACAAAAAGAAAAAACCCTTAACAATTTTAAAAGAGAGCACTCGAGTTTGAGTTTGACCTAATATTAAGTACTCAAAACTCAATTTTAATTCAATAATATTTTACTTTTAAAACTTGAACTTAACTCGAAATAGAGATCGAATTATCGATATTATTCAATTAAACTCGTTTACATTGTAAAAATGTGTTCAGATCTCATATTCGATATAAGGCTCGAATATTTGAGTTCGAATCGGAGTTAAAATTTAAATTGATGTTTTTTAATATAAACAAAAAATAAAATATTTGATTAAACTCATCACTAACTACTCGAATCAAATATTAATATACATCAATTCAACATAATGGTTCGAACTCAACCTAACAATGATCCAATCTAATTCAAATTTCTTTCGAGACAAACTCAAATAGCTTGTGAGCACACTTGTCTCGTTTACCCTTAATTACTTACAAATATTTACAACATGCACCATCATTTATCATTACCAAGGTTCTGAATCTCTATTGTCATCACTATTGGAAGCGAAGGGAAAATCACCTGTCCAAAACTCTGCATGTCCTCCATTAGCATACAACATACTGCTCTCACTATAATCACCAAGAAAATCATAATCCAGGTCCGAATCTTCAGAATCGAATAAATTCTCAAATCCATCGTAATCACCATCATCATAATTGGCATCTTCAACTTCAATGTTGTCGTTGCTATCATGGTCACCATCAATTGCACCGTAAATTCTAGCGTTCCTCTTCTCACGTCGAATCCGTTTCCCTTCGGCAACTAATGCCATCAGTTGATCTCTTATCACTAAACTTTCATCTTTCTCCAAAAGTACTCCCTTGTCATCGAACCCCTCGACTAAGAAAACCGAATCCCTCATCCCTTTCAAACTCACATAGAACAACTCTGGATGTCGAACAATCATTGCCCTCAACTTGTTTGGTAGCCCGAACTCTTTCCTGAAATGTGTCAAGTGGTCTATTAATGTCCTCTTCTCAACCATCATCCCCAACATCTCTCTCAGTACTCCGCAAGCTCTTTTCTCAGCCTCAATGGATGACTTTGCAAAGTCTTCCAAAGGCGTATTATAAGGACAAACATCAGGCACCTCATTGAATTTCATCAAAATCTCCCGGTGTCGTCTCTTTAAATTCAACCCTTTCCGGAGTTTCAATTGTTTAAACTTCAAAGGCCTATCAACAATCAACCCACAGTCCACCGGAGGAGATTTCAATGGAATAGCTAACTCAGGGTCCCAATTTACAAGCTCAAGCGCCCTGCCATACGAGGTATCTACCACCTTAAGCTTATCTGGATGATCATTACAAAGATGGGACCGAAAATTCGGAGATAACCCAAGATGTGGAGCAAGGTGAACAAGCTTAGACAAAAGAAGCCAACGATGAGAAGAAAGCATGAGAAGTTTCTGTAACTTGTTTGCCAAGAAACTCGACATAGCCGACTTAAGATTCAATTCTCGCATAGCGAGGGATTTAGCAGCGGGAGTTAAACGAACGCAAAGTTGGTATCCTGATTTCGTAGCGTTTAACGGAGTATCCGGCATGGGGATTGTAAAGAGCTCGAAAATCGTGGGGTAACGATAGATCATCGAGAGAATGGAACGAGGCTTTTGGACACAAAGGTAAAGCAAGACATTTAGCAAGAATGTGCATTGGAATGAAGTGTTTCGGCTTGGAAAGTAGCAAAGTTTTCAGCTTTTGAACGAAACGGATTTTGTTTTGCTTCACTACGTGTTTGTCTAATGGAGCACTTCGAACAATTTTGATAGAAGAACATGAAACTGAAAGAGAGAAACTCCGGGGTTTACCATAAATGTTTTGAAAGCTTGTTTTGTTTTTCCTAAGGGTAATGAAAGATGGATTTGGTGATTGAAGAAAATTGGAGCTGAGGACATTGTCGCACCGGCAAGAGACAGAGAGCAACATGGTCGCTCTAGAGATTTTTTCAAGTGAAGGTTATGTAGTAGCAACAAGTGAAACTCTTTGAGGCATAAAATCAAACATGTAGAGAGCACTGTTGTTAGCTCAGAGAAGACACCTACTCTACGAACATTCAAATGAATGCATGGGGTCGGAAAACTCGAAGCAAATTAGAACAAAATGCCGTGAATAGCTCTGAGGAAAGTGAAGAATTTTCCTGAAGCAGAAAACAAGCCAAGTGAGAATCATAAAGTGTAAAAGTGGCCAAAATGTAGGCAAACCGGGAGACTGGAACCACCTGGTTCGGTCCCTTATTACATTAGGCTTTGGGCTTATTACATTACTGGGCTAAGATGATTTAACCAATTGAACCGTTAAAATTTTATTATTTTTGTTGGATTAGACAGAATATGGATTTTTACTAAAAAAAAATTGAGTCAAACTTCAGGTTTGGATATAACCTTTTTAACCTCGGGCCAAATTTTAATGAGGGTATATTTTTTGATTCCGTCGGGTTCACTGAAAATTTAACTTAATTCGACTCATTATTTCTACACATTATTAGTTAATTCAGTAAGACGAAAAATTAAATCTCTAAAATAATAAAGTTCAAGAGTTGAACTCTCTAACAATATCAACATCAATGTATCTAAAAATATTTTTAAGAATGGCTACAACTAAAACTTTAATATGAACACAATCAGTAAAATAAATAGTTAATATAAGAATATTTAAATTTTAAGATAGAAAATTTATCATCGTTCTATAATAAATCTTTACGATATTCAATTTGAAACTAATTAAATAATGAATCAATATATATAGTTATAAAAAAATAGGAGTCAACATCGTATACAAATTTTGGTACAATTTCAAGCCCATAATCCCACAAAACCAAACTTTGTATATGAAGCTTCCTTTTTCCTTTTTCAAATCCCAGCAAGAAAACTAACCTGCTTTGCTTAGAGGTAGATTCCTAGGAGCTAAAGAAAAGGAAAAAAAAAAAAAAAGAAATGTCATCTGCTGTTGCAGGAAGTTTCTCGGCATCCAAACAAATTGGTTTCCAGGGAAAAAATGAAAGCGAAGAAGAGTTGGGAGATGAGAAGAACAAGAAATTTGGTGGTGATGATGATGAAGCTAACAACAATGGCGATGATGAACACAATGATGATGATGATGATGATGACAGGATGAAATCTGAGAAGGAATTGGATATTGGTCCTCAATTTTCACTCAAAGAACAGCTTGAAAAGGACAAGGTAAATATACATTTTTGCATGAAAATATTTTTCTTCTCTAATTTTCCTGGAAAACCAAGCTCAGATTCCAGGAAAATTAACCATGGGATGTTTTTTTTTATCTAGGATGATGAGAGTTTGAGGAGATGGAAAGAACAACTTCTCGGTAGTGTCGATATGTTCGCGGTCGGAGGTATGTTATTCGAACTCTTCATTTTTTTATTTTTTCTTAAAAGTATTTGTATTCGATATTCATGTTCCGATGTTCAAATGTAGAGAGCAAGGACCCCGAAGTCATGATCTTAAGCCTATCGATCCTATGTCCGGGACGACCGGACATATGTTTGTCGATTCCATTTGGTTCGAAGCCTAGAAGCTCTCTGTTTATGCTAAAAGAAGGAAGCAAATATCGCCTAAAATTCTCCTTCACTGTCTCCAACAACATTGTTTCCGGTCTCAAATACACCAACAATGTTTGGAAAACCGGTGTTCGAGGTACCGAAATAGAAAAACAGGTTAAATTGAATTGAATCGAATCGAATCAAACTCGTGATTTAAATTTCGGTTTTATTAAATTTCTTATCATTTTCTTTGTACGCAAAAAAAATCGGATTCGGGTCTTGATACGGTTCGGATTTGTAACATTTTGGCAGTGGACAAGACAAAGCTAATGTTGGGGACATTTAGCCCACAGAAGGAACCTTATACATATGAATTGGAAGAAGAAACTACTCCTTCTGGCTTGTTTGCTAGAGGCTCCTACTCTGCAAGAACCAAGGTAAATTATATTTGAGTTAAAATATGCAACAAGTCTTTGTACTTTTTGTACATTCAGAATTTAGTCCTTTTATTTTTAAAAATTTACAAAAAAGTACAGGACTTGGAGCATAATTTAACTTTTTCTTTTTACTAATTTTAAAACTTCTACTTTTTTTTTACTTATGCAGTTTGTAGATGACGATGGCAAAGAGTATTTGGATGTGAGTTATCACTTTGAAATCCAGAAGAACTGGCCTTCACGTTCTTGAAAATACCTTTTCTATATGAATGACAAAATGGAAGGGAAAAAGTGCAATTAATCCATTTTATTTTATTTTTATTTGCGCTTGATGTTTGGGTTTCTTTTCTTTTTTTTTAATATATTTTATTATTTCCCTTTGTAGATTCAGTTGTATATTATTATTAGTTTCATTAGTTTATGTTTGAGTGTCTATCAATCGCCAAGTAATAAGAAAATAAGGGTGTATAGGTTTATGAAAGAAAAAAAAATTGTAAACGAGAAAATTTATGGGTAGAAAAGAAAATTTTATTATTTCGACGATAAATTTAAGAGAATTTTGTAAAAATATATCAAACTATAAAATTGTAATTGCATATATATAAATTGTACAGACATACAAATCTTAATCTAATTAAACTATATTGTATTTAGGGATGTATAAAATTTGATTTGACTCAAAATAATATATATTTTTTAATTATTCTAGTTGAATTATCGAGTCAACTTGAATTATCGAGTCAATTTTCGAGTTCAAGTCAAGTTTAGATTTTATCAAATAAAAAAACCGAAAATCCAAATTTAATTATTTTACGATTTAGTCTTTGATTTCTTTATTTCTTTGAATTTTCTTTCATTTTAAGGTCATTTTAAACAAATTTAAACTATATGACCCTAAACCACTTTTGAATGTATATTTAACTTCGATTTATATTTTTGAAAATTATTGTTCTCTTTTAATAATTTGATGCTTTCATTTTATTTAATTTTCACGTTTATTTAATTTCTCTTTATAATTATAAAATATGATATGAATAAATAAATATTTAAATCTTATGATGAAAAATCTACGAGAAAAAACTTGATTGCCCTTAACAATCGATGAAATCATTATGGTTGTGGGGGATGAAAATGACAAGGGATATGGACACCATGTGCCATGATTTTGGTATGCCATCCATTCCAAGGGCTCCTAAATGCCAATTTATATTGTGGACCAACCTCAAGAATAATTTTGTACTATACGTGTTACAATCACATGCAATTTCATGTTTAATAGAACTCGTGATGTAATGATAAATTTCAATATTATGAAAATGGATATCCAATTTACTACATAGTCATCATTGATTCTGATAACGCTGTACCATTTCATTTCATCATCTTGGCTTTAGTTGCTGCATAATTTAAGGATAAAATATAAAGCAGCCTGACACCTTTTCTTTCTTTTTCAAACAGATTAAGTCTAAATTAATAATGGGTCGGGTCAAGTCGACATTTTTGTTGATTTGAACCCGGCTTAAATATTATACTCATATTCAATTCAATTTTTTTTTTCTTTTCTTTTACATGCTGAAGTTTATAAATCTCTAATCTATATACAATAAAACCTGAAATTTTATCATTACAAAAAAGAAAAAGGAAAGGCTGAAAAAATCATGGATAATCCAACAACGCAAACTTCACTTGTAAGCTAATCTTCCCACTCTCATTGACAAGTTTAGCAGCAGTTACCAACCAATGTCCCGGAGCATTATGTGGACCCCTCACAACCTCGGATACATCTACATATTTGAGCAGTTTTTTTGATCGGATCGGTTCCGGTGGACCGTCAGGGTACACGCCCGAATTAAGTGCGGTTGGGGCTTGTTTCTGTTGTCCGTTCGTAGCCGACGTGAACGAAAAAGTCATGCTTAGATTAGTGAGGAAACTACCCTTACGGAAAGTTTCGGGTGCAGCCCCCCACTCGGTCCTCCGGATTGTGCAGTGAGGTATATGAGTGTAATGCAGACGGAGATGCAAAACCGTCTTTGGCCACTTCCCTTTGCTGAGCAGCTGTGCGCCGGTTACGATAAAAACGCCACCTGAAACTTCTTGCAGCCAGTTAGGGTCGTGTTTAACGACAGATGTGCATACATGCGAGTATCGTTTCCATCTGACCGGCTCTAAAAATTGATCGTTGGACATATAGTCGTCGGAACCTCGCCATTGGCTAGGTTTGCCTGATGTGAACGACATTAGACTCGGAAGACTCGAGAGATGTTGTATGTGTAATGCTAACCGGTTGCATTTTTTACCTTCCAAGTACAACCGGAGGCCAACTACTGGTTTTAAATCGCTTGAAACCTGAAATAGAATAACAAAGAAATGCTTTAATTTTATCGAATACTAACAACACAGAATCGGATGAAACATGGCAGCAAAATGCATCATAACAGACTGAAGGATGAACTCCGATAAATTAGACGAGGCAGCAATGCTCAAGGGGTCAAGCAATTTAAACCTATATTTACACGTCAAATGATGTCTACTTAGTACTATATACATGCCTGCACATATATATATGCAGAGATAGAATAGGAAGGTAAAACCAGAGATGAATGCATTTGCAAAGTCCATGTCTGTGTCTGAAAATGCGTCGAATACGAGTGTCAGACATGAGTATTTAAAGAAAAATGAAGGGTTAGAGCGATATGGTTGTTCGTACCATACAAATGCTAATCATATTGTAGCATGTCGCTCGTAGAGTTTTAGTTAAGTTGGGTTCATATGCTATCATATGATTCTAAGCCGTCTAGTGCATTTTTTGTAACAAGAACATAAAAGGAAAAAATGGGTTCGTTTCCCCCCACCGACTTCATGAATTGCGCATTTTGGTTCATACGACTCTTCTGTTTAATATGAAAGTAAAAACATGATAATGCAGGTTGCAAGAAAATAAATAAAACAGAGAAACTGTAAGATAATGATTTATAGGTTGATTGACAACCTGAGTTGAGTTGACATGCATCTTAGGACCCATGAAAGCGAATTGCAGGGAGGGGCAAGAAGCTTTTTTTGTCTGATGCCTAAGTGGCAGACCGGAGAACATAGGTGCCCACTGTTGTGGAACTTGAAACTCCAAGAAATACCTTAAATCCTCGGGAACAGGCTTGTCTACATACGGATTCAGCAAGTTAAAGAATCTTATATCACATAAAACTAGATGAATATAAGATTAACACATTCAGGCAATTGAATACTTACAACGAAGGTATAAGTTGATCGCATGACTAAGATACCCACTTCCGGGAATCCCGGTCAGAAGAGAAGTAATCGGTACAAATTTGAACAAAATTCCTTCTGGCTTAGTAGGTACTGTCTGAAGCCAGTTAGAGTGACTATGCAAGAACACATTACCACCTCTTTTTGAACAAATGATAGTGAGTCCCTGTTCAAGTTGAAAATAAAGATAAATAATTCATGGATTGTAATTATTATTTTAACGAAAATCAAAATAGCGTAAAACTCAAATTCTAGACACACATCTTTGCTCGATGTTTCTGCAACACTGGCCAACTGCATGGAGTTTGACTGCAAAATGCGGTTAAAGACGTCTGGCACCTACATAAATAAGCGGCGTTTAGAAATGATATGGGTGTTTACTTAATAAAAGAAGAAAGAGACCCTAAGTTTCAGTGAGGTGCTAATACTTTTTGCTTGCCGTCCCGAGATTTTCTCTGTAGTAACGAAGGGCTATTTCCGTCAGAAAACATAACATCTCCGAGATCCTCCAAATACCCTCTGAGGTCGGACGTAGGAATTGTAGAGGAATTGTTTTGTCTCACACATATTAAATCTTGACCTCCAATAGCCATGCCAACTATTACGTGTGTCCCAAATGTCTGGATGAACCTGCCCAATACAAATTATTAGTATGCACCGCATGAAACCAATAACAATGATATTAATGAATGCAAAGTAACGAAAATGGTTAGTACAAATATCGATCTCTATTAAAATTCTCGCCTTAAAAAATAACGAAAATTGTAAAGGTATATAGTTCATATGCATCACAGATACAACACTGTGACAGAAAACTAAGAGGGAAATTCTATACGTACTCAGGAGTAGTGACGAGGTTTACACTACACACACCGGTCTTTTTATCCGAATTCCGTCCCTTAAAAATTATTTCAATTGCTTCCTATGTGGAAGATGATATGTTCAAGCTAATGATCAATTAAAATGATTCCACTACTTTGAGAGCAAACAGTGAGTTCCATAAGGAAGTTGAAAACACATATCACAGCACCTTCATCATCTCATACATGATTAGTTATGCTATGCATACAGTCACGTAATCAAACTAACAAGTCATTAACCGCATAGGCAAGAGTGTGGAACACAATTTCACAGTACTATTTCGTAATATTTCTTTGTTCATGCGAAAAGCATCTGCATAACCTGTATGATATATCATTCATGTATGATGATTCTTAATGCAAGATATTGCACGTGATATATCGAAAAGCTACCTAGCCAATGCTGCTGGATCCCAGTGAGGTGGAACAGACTTCTTGACTCTGTCGTTCAGTATAAGTGGAGATGCTGTAAGGTGTAAATGATACAAAGAAATAAAGTAACCATCGAAAGCAAGGTTTTTGGTGTCTGCAGCATCATGAAGCCAGTCTCCAGTCAAATCGTAAATACTGTTAAGATAGCCCGAAGGAACTTTTCCTTGTATTGAAGACTTCTGATTAAGTAACTCGGACATCTGCAAGAGAAACAAGAATTGGGACAAAATGTAAGGTACCACATCAATAGAACACCAAATAAATTTATTCAAAAACGTATAAGGCTCCTAGCAAGTTCATCATTGAACAAATTGCATAATTCTATATAGTTTCAAATTGAACCCTGCCTTTTTTTTCGGTTTCTTCATCGTTAAGGTTACAGTAGGACTCCCTCCAAGTAATCGAATATTAGGAATTTTAGGTGTATTTGTCAAAAAGTTTTCAGTATAATAGGCACTACCTATATGACTAAAATCAGCCATTATTCAGGGTAGGTCCCTGTCACTTTAAGTATTGTCAAATTAAGCCTCCCCAGTTTTTTAGTTTAAATGCTTAATAGGTCCTTGTTCTTTTGAAGTTAACCAAGTTGACCCCTCTTAGTATTTGATCCCGGTTCCGTCCTTGCAGATCTTAGAACCTGTTTATTGCATACCAAACTATTTAAGAAGAAACGTTGACAAAAAGTAAGGCAACATTATAACTATATTAAAAACTCTTTGATTATAAGCTAGTTGTAAATGATAAAAAGGGAAACCTCCATATTACTTTTCTCTGTTTATCCCTATGTTACTACAACTCATTTTGCCCATGTTATTAGGCTATCCAAGACTTTTTTTTTTTTTGCTTATCCCCAAGTTATTACAACTCTTCACTTCCCCGAAAGTACCCTTTTCTGGCATCCTATAGGTAAACTTTTCCTCTTGCATAATTAGGCTACCCAACACTTTTTTTTTTGTTTATCCCCATTTTATTACAACTCTTCACTTCCCCGAAAGTACCCATGTTCGAAACATATTCAAACATAGATATAGGAGAATTCTCCTCTTAAGTACATTTAAGTATAGTCAGGACTGTAAATGAGACGAGATAGATCGCGAGCTATTCGAGTTTGACTCGGTTAACACTCGAATCAAATGAACTCAATTTGAATTCGACTCAAATTCTTAAAGAGTTGAAGCGAGCTACTTGATAATTGACTCAAAAAGTTCGTGAGCAACTAAAAAAGTAATATATTAAAATTTTAATTTTTTAATTAAATTATTAATAATATTAACATTTATATGTTATTTTTAAAAAAAATACAATATATAGCTTTCATGTACTTAAGATTCAAGTTCGAACTCAAGTTCGAGCTTGAACCGAGCTTAAGTTTGAGCCTAAATCGAGCTAAGTGTGAGAATGTTTCAAGTTTTTTCTAGTTCAAGACTCGAACCGAGCTTAAAAATTTTAAGATCGCGAGCTTTCGAGTCGAATTGAGCTTCAATTTTTTATTTCGAGTTTGCGTCGGATTTGATAATTTTAAGCTCATGATTTTCGAGTCAAGTTCAACTTTAAACTTTTCAAGTCAAATCGAGCTTAACAATACTCAAGCTCAACTCGATTGCATAGCCCTGCAGGGTACATCCAACTAGTAATCCATGCTAATAAAACCCAGATTCCTTTTCCTAACAAAATATATCATCAAATTGAAAATTCTAATATAGCTTTTATTTTCCGATTCTACTACTTTGAAGCTGATATAAAGGTTTGCGCTTAGTCAAAGGATTTGAAATAGACAAAATTCACATGTGACAGAGAGTTTACTTTTCAATTTCATCCCCACCAATCTACCATTCCCAAGAAGCATCCACCAAAAATGATATTGTATAACAAGCTAGTTGCTATTTTGAAAACATAAACAAAAGTCAAAATTCTACACTTTACAAATCCCACAAGTCTAATTCTAGAATGCAAGTTGGCCATTTCAGAATAGTATTATCTCCTTTTGCTTTTGACCCAAACCATGAAAAAGCAAAACAAAAACGGATCAATCAAGGAACTGAAGCAAATCAAATCGAGTTTGAGTAAAATCCCAGAGCTGGATATTCATCTAAATTATACTTTCAATCACATAAAAGAACATATACAAAAGAAAAAGGAAAGATAAACAGACCTGATTGAATTCAAGAACATCAGATTTGAAACGAATACGGTCGCCTTTATCAAGACGGATATCTTGAGAAACAGCTTTGATAGTAAAACCAGCACCTGGGAACACAATGTCTCTTTTATTGGTTTCATCGAGCACGACCAGCCTCGTTCCTTTAGCGTATTTCAACCTGAAATCTCCAGTTATATCAAAGCCTTTTCCCAGAGCTTCCATGGCTATTACCTCTATCGGCTTCCCTGTTTCCGCCATACCCAGACCTCAAAAAAATCACAAAAAAAGCAGCAAACAACAGCAGTAGCAGAAGTAGCTTTGGGTTTAAGAATTGGAGCTTTGGGTTGATGATAGTTTTGGGAGAAAGGGATGGGAAATAGTAGAAAATTTGAGGGTCAGCTGTGCATTATTGAATGGCATATTTGAAGGGGAATTATATATTGGCGTGGAGAACGTAAAAGACAAAAGAGAAATAGTTGTCCGGGGGTTGAAAAGCAGGTTTTCTAAAATAACCTTCCCCCATTAGAGTATTGGATTTGTCTGTTGTTCAGACGAAAATTTTGAATGGTAAAATTAGAGAATTATTTCTCCTCGAATAAAAAAATTAAAAAATGAAGATGATTTAAAATTAACTAAAGAAATAAAAATATTTTATGATAATAAGATACGATGATTTTTGTAATATTGTCAACAAAAAGGATAACTTTGATCTTCATTGTAACAACTAACAATGATCTTACTTTTATAATTAATTTTAAATTGTCTTTAAGACAATTATTTCCTTAGTTTTATCAATTTGAATGGGATTGTAAATTAATCAATAATTTCCATGATTAATATGATGATTTTATTTTATTTTGAAACTGTTGAACTGACAATAAATTATAGAATGAATTTTTCAAGTTTTAAAGGTTGTTTTGAAAAAGTTTAAATTAACAAATTTATAGGTGTAGTACTAGTAAGATAAATCTATCTATATCTACAGCGATCGAAAAGGACGTTACTTTAAAATATATTTGATTACGATATTGTATAATCATATCGGGATGATAAGAATTTTTTCTATGGGAAGATGATGACATAGAAATGAAAAAGATTATCAGCATAAAACAATACACATCACTTTATTGCTTTTAATTTAACGTTCAAGTAATAATTTTTTTTTAAATTTTAATAATAATTTTTAATTTTTATTTAATATTGAATGATCAAAATAAAAATACAGTAAAAATTAAACGGTGAACAGCGTAGTTTGTTTACCCATACCTTAATTGATGCATCTCCATCAAACGATAACCATTTTAATTCCGGGCTGCCGGTTTCCACAAGGCAAAGCAAAACAAACACGGCACTAAGCAGAGAGAGAGAGAGAAGGCAAGGCGGACACAAGTGGTTCTACTTGCTTACATTAACTACCCTTCACTTAACTCCAAGTCTCCGGCCTAGCTATTATATTAAATTACTTCTGACATGAAAAATACGGTAATCTTGGTCTACAAGCCCTCTGACATAGGGATACTTATAGATAAATCTCTACCATGACATGAAACTACTCAATAGTACTGTAGACTTGCTTATGTGTCATGGTCATTTACATTGAGCAAAAACACTTCACCTTCTCTATCTCCTAACAACTTTGATACCCCAATTTGCCCACCAAGTTCACTAGTCATTTCGATACTACAGTTCACAATCGACGCTGAAGGGATAACATAAAAGCCCTCTAGATACATAAGCCAACATAGGCGGAGAAAAGCCGACTCTTTTTGTTGCTTCCGATCCATTTCAACACTAAACTGTCTCTCATTAGGGTATCGGTACAAAGGATCCATATCTATCGAGGTATCTTTCGTGCTTTCTCAATCGAAAGAGAACTTGCTATCTTTAATAACCCTCCATAATTGCTCTTGAACTGCAAAGGGCTCCGAGGCCACGTTTTTGTTGGGAGCAATGCTTCTTTGAGGCACCAGAGAGCTAATTGTTCGAGTTGAGCTTCGATTAGAAACACATATTTTGGTGGATCGTTGTTGACGATGCTTGATTTTTTATGTTCAAAGGCTTGGTTTCTGGTAATTGCAAGAGGCAAATATGTGGGGACCAAGGATTGTTCAAAGGAGGGGAGGTTTTAATACTTGTTTACTTTTATTTAGGTTTTAGCTGTCCGAGTTTTATTTATTTTGTAATTATTTAGTTAAATGATTCATCCATAGAAGTATTCCACCAACATTTGGTTTGAAAAGACTTAACTATGTAATTATTGTATAAACTATACTCTTTTTTTATTCTTCTCAAAGAAATATCTATTGTTCTATTCCATAATCATTTTAAGTTAATTTATTAAAAATTATTATTTGTCATTGATGAGCTCAGTAACTATTTTTATTCAACTCGTCACGATAAACACCAAAAATAAATTTCACATTCGAATAAATGAGTTTTCAAAACCCTTAACCTAAGGTTTTCAATTTGAGAAAATGGGGGAGCATAAATCGAAAATAAAAATATTTTGGTGAAAACTTTTGGTGCCCAAAACAAATTTCTCCTATTTCCTTTTTATCTTCCTCCAGTTCCGCAATCTTTTACTTTCTTGTTATATTTGGTTCTCTAGGAAATAGAAAGTAGAAATGATCGGTTGTCAAGTGTCATGTATTTTTTAAGTAAATATCTTTAATAGGCATACAAGAAAATTCTGAAAATATAGACGAAAATAGAACGTTAGGCACGTACTCGAATAGAAAAAGTTTAAGCACCTATTTTAACCCCAAAATATGTATAGACACCTGAAGCAAAAAATAGGCAACATAAGTGTTGCAGTTAAGAAGTTTGAAAAATGAAAATTCATTCACAAAATGCACAATTCACAAGCATTAGCAATGAAATTATGAAGGGATAGTCATTCACATTGTCATGCGAACCACTAATGTCATACATTTATGTCGAACTATAAATTCACAAGCAAAAATACGGGTTAGTATTTGATACACTATCAGTAGAATATTTTAATTCCACGAGCAGTGTTTAAATACTACCACATGTCTTCCCAAAACCTTAATCCCTAAACCCCTAATGCCACGTCATCATTTAACCCTGCTTGTGGGCTTGAGTTTTTTTTAACCCCACTGGCAGTGTTTGGAATAATTTTCCCATATATGCACATATATATTTCTTCTTCACTTCTGCACCTGCATTATGCTTTGATGAGATGGTTTTTTACTCCCAAATATCCTAAACTGAATTCTCCAATCCACGCCAAATATCAAAATTAAAAGTTTGCATACATAAACAGCCTAACAAGCCACAAATTATTATAGCACTTATAAATGTCGCAATCCCAGAAAAGATATATAATGGAAATCAAAGACCAGAAATTAAAAATAATACCAAACTAAATTTTTCTATTATCAAGCAATACTCCTCCAGTGACTAATTAACAATTGTAGCAGGAACTTAAGGTAAAGACTAAAGACGGCAACAGCAATACCACGGTACAGCTGAGTAACTTAGGGTATTCAAGTTTTACATACCAATAAAAACTCCAGAGCTTCTCAATGAGCAAAAACAGTGTCGTTGCGCCTAGGAGGTCTATCGGGAATCGATCCTGGTTTGAACTTAGAAGCTTCATGCTTTGCCAGTTCATGAGGGACGGGGCTGCCACTTTGAACAAGCATCTGCTTGAGATCAAAGAAGACATCGGTGTCATGAAAAGTCAAAAATGTTGTGGCCACACCGGTCTTTCCTGCACGTCCCGTTCTTCCGATTCGATGTGTATACATTTCGATATTACCAGGCATGTCATAGTTTATGACATGAGCCACATCAGGGATATCAATTCCACGCCCTGCAACATCTGTAGCAACAAGGACAGTGAATCTCTTGGCTCTAAAACCCTCAAGGCTGATTTCCCTCTGCTCCTGTGATCTTCCCCCATGTAAAGTCGTTACCTTATAACCAGCCTTATCAAGATTCTTGGAAATAGAATCAGCATTCTTCTTAGTATTGACAAACACAATCGCAGTCTTATCCCCAAGATCATCGAGCAACTTCTGCAATCTCGGAAACTTCTCTGATTCCTTCATCATGATCACGTGTTGAGAAATTAAATCAGTAGCCTTTCCAGCAGTACCAATATTGACCACAACAGGATTCCTCAAATACTTCCTAGCTAGCCGCTCCACAGCTGGAGGCATCGTAGCACTAAACATGTAGGTAGTCCGATAAATCCTTTTTTCATCAAGCTCCTCATCTTCATTCTCCGGTTTCAAATTACTAGATGGCATAGCATCCAATACACCCACAACTTGGGGTTCAAAACCCATATCTATCATCCTATCAGCCTCATCAAGAACCACATAATTACACTGATTCAACACAGCATACCGCCTCTCTAAACAATCCAGTAAACGACCGGGCGTAGCAATAACAACCTCACACCCTTGTCTAATCCTAAAACCTTGTTCCTCTATTGACTGGCCACCGACAATAGAAACAACTTTAATACCTAAATAATGAGCAAACTTCATAGTTTCATCCTCAATTTGCTGAGCAAGTTCACGAGTCGGGGCCATGACAACAGCGTAAGGCCCCTCAGCTTCATTATCTTCACTCATAGGAGGCAATCTAGATATATAAGCCAACATAGGCAAAACAAAAGCAGCAGTCTTACCTGACCCTGTCTCTGCAATCCCAATCACATCCCTTTGCTGCAATCCCAAAGGAATCGCAGCCATTTGTATAGGTGAAGGCTTCTTATACCCAACTCTCTCCACTGCTTTCAACAACTCGGGAGTCAATTTACTCTCGCTCCAGCTCCGCATCGGGCGTGGAATCTTCGACCCTTTATAGGAAATATTGAAATCTTCCCTAAATCCTCCAATCTCGTTCAGTCATTTCTTCGAGCTTCTTATCAGACCAATGCTTATCGACCCTCATATCGAAAGTATCGTAAGTATTCGCTGCTTCTTCTTTTAACCTCTGCGCCGCAGCTTCTTCGGGCTTCTCTTCAACCCCATCTTTTTTCCTAATTTCGTCTCTCATCTCTTTCTCATTCTTAGCCGCGAGCTTCTTCTGTTCCCTCCGATCCATTCCAGCCCTAAAACCTCTCCCGAACAAAAGCTGAGCCTCATGAGGGTTTTGATACAAAGAATTCATGTCCCTCGAAGTGTCTTCCGTGTTTTCCCAATCGAAAGAAAACCTAAATTTCTCGCTAGGTTTAATAACCCTTTTCTTGGGCTTCTTCGATCCGAGGTATTGATCTTTAATCGATTCCAATTCCTTTTCCCTTTCCCTCTCAGCTAACTTCTCCAACCTCGCCCGTTCTCTGGCCTTGGCTTCTTCTCCCCGCTCGCGTTCCCGGTTCCTCCGCTCGGATTCCCGATCCCTCTCCCGCTGGCGTTCACGGTCGCGTCGGTCGGAATCAGAGG